AAGATATAAACCCTAAATTTGGGGCAAAATTGGAAAAAAACTTAATTATGTAGAATCAAGCCGAAATTCCGTATACAAGTACAACTCACGACGAGAAATTCAATGGTGCAATCTAGACTTCAATCCAACTATTGGATTCAAAATTAAACGCTTGAAAACAATTGAAGTCAAAACCCCGAATTTTTTGGGCCAAAAATGGAAAAAAAACTTTATTTTGTAGAATCTATCTGAAATCACGTATACAAGTACAACTCACGACGAGAAATTCAATGGTGCAAACTAGACTTTTATCCGACTGTTAGTTTCGAAATTAAACACTTAAAAACAAATAGAGACCAAAACTAGAATTCAGGCAAAAAATTGAAAAAAACTTAATTTTTTAGAATCTATCTGAAACCACGTAAACAAGTACAACTCACGACGAGAAATTCAATGGTGCAATCTAGAGTTCAATCCGACTATTAGTTTCGAAATTAAACTTTTGAAAACAATTGAAGTCCAAAACCCGAAATTCGGGCCAAAAATGGAAAAAAACTTAATTTTGTAGATTCTATCTGAAATCACGTACACAAGTACAACTAACGACGAGAAAATCAAAGGTGCAAACTACACTTCAATCCGACAATAAGATACGAAATTAAACGCTCTAAAACAAATGATGCCCACAACCATAATTCTGGCCAAAAATGGAAAAAAACTTAATTTTGTAGAATCTATCTGATATCACGTATACAATAACAACTCACGACGTGAAATTCAATGGGGCAAACTAGAATTCAATCCGACTATTAGTTTCGAAATTAAACGCTTCAAAACAAATCGAGACCAAAACACGAATTCAGGCAAAAATTGAAAAAAATTTAATTTTGTAGAATCTATCTGAAAACACGTATACAATAACAACTCACGACGAGAAATTCAATGGTGCAAACTACACTTCAATCCGACTATAAGTTTCGAAATTAAAAGCTGTAAAACAAATGAAGCCCAAACCCTAAATTTGTTCCAAAAATGGAAAAAAACTTAATGTTTTGGAAACTATCTGAAATCACGTATACAAATACAACTCACGTCGAGAAATTAAATGGTGCAATGTACACTTCAATCCGACGTATGGATACGAAATTAAACGCTCTAAAACAAATGAAGCCCGAAACGCTTAATTTGGTTCAAAAATGAAAAAAAACTTAATTTTGTAGAATCTATCTGAAATCACGTATACAAGTACAACTCACGACGAGAAATTCAATGGTGCAAACTACATTTCAATTGGACTATTAGTTTCGAAATTAAACGCTCTGGAACAAATGAAGCCATAAACCCTAAATTTGGGCCAAAAATGGAAAAAAAACTTAATTTATAGAATCTATCTGAAATCACGTATACAAGTACAACTCACGACGAGAAATTCAATGGTGCAAACTAGTCTTCAATCCGACTATTAGTTTCGAAATAAAACGCTTGAAAATAAATAGAGACCAAAACCCGAATTCAGGCAAATAATGGAAAAAAACTTAATTTTGTAGAATCTATCTGAAATCACGTATACAAGTACAACTCACGACGAGAAATTCAATGGTGCAAACTAGACTTCAATCCGACTATTGGATTCATAATTAAGCGCTTGAAAACAATTGAAGTCTAAACCCCGAAATTTGGGCCAAAAATGGAAAAAAAACTTAATTTTGTAGAATCTATCTGAAATCACGTATACATGTACAATTTACGACGAGAAAGTCAATGGTGCAAAGTAACTCCAATCAGACGAATATTTTACGAGATACAGCACAATCAAAGTGGAGTCTCGAGTCATGAGGTACAAAGCACTTCCTTACATCCCAAATTTCAAAAATAATAATTTAAGCCCTGCGATCTAATATTCTATATACATGTAGCACAATTTAAAAGAAATTCATGGGTGCTAAGCAAACTCCAATCAGACGAATAGTTTCCGAGATAGAGCACAAACAAAGTGGAGCCTCGAGTCATCAGGTACTTTAATCAGACGAACAGTTTCCGAGATACAGGAGAATGAAAGAGGAGACTCAAATCATCAGGTACAAAACACCCTCCCTTACGTGCCAATTATTAAAAAATATTAATTAAAGCACTGCCGTCTAGTATTATGTATACAAGTAGAACACTTTAAGAGAAATTCATAAGTGCAAACAAAACTCCATTCAGACGAATAATTTCCGAGACACAATAGAATGAACATGAAGCATCATATCATCAGGTAGAAAACATTTCTCTTTACGTGCCAAATTTTGAAAAATTTTAAATTTAGCACTGCCATCTGATATACTGTATACAAGTAGAACACTAAGAGAAATTCATAGGTGCAAACAAAACTCCAATCAGACGAATAGTTTCCGAGATACAGCACAATGAAAGTGGAGCCTCGATACATCAGGTACAAAGCACCCCCCCGCTTACGTGCCAAATTTCGAAAAGTATTAATTTAAGCCCTGCCGTCTTATTGTCTGTATAGAAGTAGAACACTTTAAAAGAAATTCATAAGTGCAAAGCAAACTTCAATCAGACGAATAGTTTCCGAGATACAACACAATCAAAGTGGAGCCTCGAGTCATCAGTTAATTTAATCAGACGAATAGTTTCCAAGATACAGGAGAATGAAAATGAAGCCCCAAATCATCAGGCAAAAAACGCTCCCCTTTACGTGCCATTTAATAAAAAATATTAATTTAAGCACTGCCATCTGATATTCTTTCTACAAGTAGAATACTTTAAGAGATATTCATAGGTGCAAACAAAACTCCTCCCAGACGAATAGTTTTCGGGATACAGGAGAATGAAAATGGAGCTTAAAATCATCAGATAAAAAACTCCCCCTCATTACGTGCCAAATTTCGAAAAATATTAATTAAAGCACTGCCATCTGATATTATGTATACAAGTAGAATACTTTAAAGGAATTCATAGGTGTAAAGCAAACTCCAATAAGACGAATAGTTTCCGAGATACAGGAGAATGAAAATGAAGCGTCAAATCATTAGGTGCAAATCACCCCCCCCCCTTACGTGCCAAATTTATACATATTAATTAAAGCACTGCTATCTCATATTCTGTATACAAGTAGAACACTTTAAGAGAAATTCATAGGTGCAAACAAAACTCCAATCAGACGAATAGTTTCCGAGGTACAGCACAATCAAAGTGGAGCCTCGAGTCATCAGGTACAAAGCACCCCCCGTTTTAGGTGCCAAATTTCGAAAAATATTAATTAGATTTTTGCCATCATATATTCTGTATACAAGTAGAACACTTTAAGAGAAATTCATATATGCAAACAAAACTCCAATCAGGCGAATAGTTTCCGAGATACAGGAGAATAAAAGTGGATCCTCAAATCATCAGTTTCAACCCCCTTACGTGCCAAATTTCGAAAAATATTAAATTAAGCACTGCCATCTGATATTCTGTATACAAAGAGAACATTTAAGAGAAATTCATAGGTGCAAAGCAAACTCCAATCAGACGAATAGTTTCCGAGATACAGCACAATGAAAGTGGAGCCTCGAGTCATCAGGTACAAAGCACCCCCCCCCTTACGTGCCAAATTTCGAAAAATATTAATTTAAGGACTGCCATCTTATATTCTGCATACAAGGAGAACACTTTAAGAGAAATTCATAGGTAAAAACAAAACTCCAATCAGACGAATAGTTTCCGATATACACGAGAATGAAAATGGAGCCTCAAATCATCAGGTACAAAACACCCTTCCTTACGTGCCAACTTTCGAAAAATATTAATTTAAGCACTGCCATCTGATATTCTGTATACAAGTAGAACATTTTAAGAGAATATCATAGGTGCAAACAAAACTTCAATCAGACGAATAGTTTCGGAGATACTGGAGAATATAGGTGGAGTCTCGAGTAATGAAGTAAAAAACACCCCTCCTTTACGTGCCAAATTTCAAAAGATGAAAAATGAGAGAGAGAGAGAGAGAGAGAGAGAGAGAGAGAGAGAGAAATAGTGAGAAAAAGAGGGTGAAAGAGAGAAAAAAGAGAGTGAGAGAGAGAAAAAACAGAGTGAGATAGAGAAAAAGAAGAGAGAGAAAAAAACAGAGTGAGATAGAGAAAAAGAAGAGAGAGAGAAAAAAGAGAGTGAGAGAGAGAAAAAAGAGAGAAAAAAGAGAGAGAGAAAAGAGAAAGAGAGAGAAAGAAGAGAGAGAAAAAACAAAGAGTGTGAGAGAGAGAAAAGAGAGAGAGAAAAGAGAGAGAAAAAAGAGAAAGAGAGAAAAAGAGAGAGAAAAAGAGAGAGAGAAAAAGAGAGAGAGAAAAAGAGAGAGAGAGAGAGAAGAGAGAGAAAAAGAGTGAGAAAAAAAGAAAAGAGAGAGAGAAAAGATAGAGAAAAAGGAGAGAGAGAAAAAAGAGAGAGAGAAAAAGAGAGAGAAAATAGAGAGAGAATAAAGAGAGAGATAAAAGAGATAAATGAGATAAAAGATAGAGATAAAAGAGAGAGATAAAAGAGAGAGAGAAAAAAAAGAGAGAAAAAAAGAGCGAGAAAAGACGCGGTTGTTACGGAAGCAGTGATCACACATTTCTTGCATACAATTTCCTCAACGCGCAGAAAAGCTGTTTGAGAACGCAGGCAATGTCCTTTCGCAGGGCCTGCCCGTTCTGGGCGATGAAGGCCTTTAAGTGGCGGTCGAAGCCACCTCCATAACGAGGAACAGCCGGGCGCCTCATTGGAAGGCCCCGTGGAATCGGACGAGGTGGTGCAAGTCAGGGTTGTGGACGCTTATCGTTGCCTGCGCCTGAGCCTGCGATGCAAGGCAAACGAAAATAACCTTTAAATTTCGAATTTTAGTAGTGTACACTTGTGCGTGATAATTTTAAAAGTTACTGATCACATTTATTACGCATTAAATCAAATATTGCCGTTGCGAATTGAAGTAAAATTGAAGTTTTTTGGGGGTTTGTTAGTGATTAAATAAGTGTCAATAATATATTTTACCATTAAAAATTTACGTAGTTCACAAGACAGCCGGAAGTAGAGCAAAACCACAGGATACCTAGTACACTGTGGTGAAACAGTCTTCAGCTTCGCCTCGAGATAAAAAAATATTTGATGAGTCACTTTTTTTTGCATCGGCGATACAAAGTATTTCAATGAATATGCGTTATGTTGAAAGACGTCGCTATTAAGACTCGCACATTGGTCGTTTTCCGTATAAATTATTAATTACACGTTATTAATAACTGAGAACAAGTTGTAACAGTTCATCTTTGCCTTCACTATACTCATCTACATATGAAAGCATTTGAAACAGATCAATACTTACCAGCTGGAAGGCAAAATAATTCGTTTGCTAGCGATCATGTCCAAGAATTTAAAATTTTATAAAACTATTATTATCTTTTCCCACAATTTGAAGAACATTTCAATCTTTGATTCGTCATACATTGGCATATGTTCAGAAGGTTTTCAATATATTAAGAATTCGCTTTAAACTAAAGTCAAATATGTTGTGGAGTTATTAAATTTTAATCGATTACTTTACATTTAATAAATATTGAGAAAAATGATGATTGTAAATAAGTTTCTTGTATCCACACAAATGGGTATTGAATTTACGAAGGAATGTTAAGAGCCAACTTCTAAACTCTATTAGCAATATAAAGAACCAACAGAAATTCTAATTTAAGAAGAGCTCTTCAGTACTGCTTTCACTTTTCACGATTAGCAACACATATTTATTATGGTTTCTTTCACGAACTGACCAATTCTGAGAAAATAAGACTTGGGGATGAAAATTACAGCAATTAAATTTGTTATTTCATACAAGTCACTTCCCCAACCTTCGAGAAAATGAGGATAACATGGCCAATTTATAATTCTGAATATTCGTTTAGCTTTGTTCGGTGTGATATTCGCAGTTCGTTAATATAGCTTTACTTCAAACAGCCCACTTCTGTGATGTGGCGTGCTTGAACATGTACCTGCCGAAGAGGTGACGCGATGTCGCCTTTTCGAAATAATCGTGTGGAGAAGACGTTGAAAGACTGCGTGGCTAGGTTACCTCGTTCATCGCCGCCTCACTCCATTGTCCCTCCAAGCGCAGCACCTTCACGGCCCTCGAACGGGCACTTCCCACTTCCTGGCAGTGGAGCACCTGCACACAACCGCACGCGTCATTCAGCAGTCCACAACGAGGTACCCGTGCACGAGATACACACATTGTCTTTGGAAGAGCTTTCAGAATGAACGTGAATTACCTCACAGTCAGCATTTTACCGTTTTTCAATATCGTTGCAGATTTACTCATGATACTATAAAAAGAGCGTTGGGAGGTCAAGTATTGCATTTACGTTATGGCCCAGTGACATATTAAAATTCTCAAATTTTTTATGAACTATTTCAACAGTATTTTGAGGAAAAAATAATAAATATCTGCAGAGGCTCAAAAAATGTTTCGTCGTGTGCAGAAAAATTTCAACCTGCACGAAAGAAAGATACAGCAATCTTACCATGCAAAAATAATGAATTGAAGTGTGAGAAAACTTTATATTTATAGAAGCAAAGCCGAATTTTGTAATGCCCCTCCCTTTCAATGAAAAATTCCCTCCACCCGCAATTCGTTAACACAAGGAATTTCTCTCTGCATCAGAAACAAAATAGAGCGTTAAATTCAGATTAGGAACAATATTTTTTTTCTTTTGAATGAAAAAATATTCGGGTTCCCGATAAAGTCGATGATAATGATAATGATAATGACAATGACAATGACAATGACAATGACAATGACAATGACAATGACAATGACAATGACAATGACAGTGACAGTGACAGTGACAGTGACAGTGACAGTGTCAGTGTCAGTGTCAGTGTCAGTGTCAGTGTCAGTGTCAGTGTCAGTGTCAGTGTCAGTGTCATTGTCATTGTCATTGTCATTGTCATTGTCATTATCATTATCATTATCATTATCATTATCAGTATCAGTATCATTATCATCGTCAATATCATTATCATTATCATTATTGTTATTATTATTATTGTTATTATTATTGTTGTTGTTACCTGGCCGTACACTCCTCTGCCGAACGTGCACAGCACCAAGTAGTCTGTGCCGACGCCGCGGAGCAGCGAGGCCGGAGCCCAGCTGCGCTGCTGGGTGGCAGCTGCGTGGACAGCGTTCGAAAGCGGAGGGTTGGCGCCGGCCGTTGCCGCCGCCAACGCCTTGAGGCCTGTGGCAGTGTGGCCGCGCTCACTTCGCGCCCTGGCGGCGGCGGCGGCGGCGGCAGCTGCCGGCTCGGTCGCGCTCTCCACGTAGCGGCGGCGGCGGTACGAATCACGAATCACCCAGATTCCCACTGCGTCACCCAAAGTCCTCTGGAAGCCTGTGCATGCCAGACTTCACAAACATCAGGTCGCTTGGCGCAAGGGTAGCTACAAGTCTTACTGTGATTTTTGCTGCATTAGCGATTTTCATGGTGGTTGTGTATCGTCAAGATAATATCTTTTTTGGGTCAACACCGTATCATCCTACCGATAACACCTACTCCCGTATCACGAATTTTAAATTCCTTAATTTAATATTTTAATTACACTTTCTGAAACTATTATAGTCGTCAAACAAATAGCAAATACACTAAGCCAAATAGCAAAGAGACATCCCCCAGATTTATCCCTCGGGCTAATTGCAGCACTCTGGCTACAAATACACTTCGAGAAAAATAATGCATCTAGGCTTCTAGGCTGTCCGGGTGACGCCGCGTCGTTGGCAGATAGGCCGACGTTTCGCCTGTCATGTCGCAGGCTTCTTCAGGGTAGTGACATAGTAAAGCTCCTATCTGCCAACGACGCGGCGTCACCCGGACAGCCTAGAAGTCATGAACTCGAGCCGCGGAAGCCTACGTGTACAATAATGCATTCCTTCCCCTTGATGTATAATTGATATATTTATACATGGCCATGATCAGTTGGTCAAGGATCAATTAATTGAGCAAAGGTAAAGGTAATTTCTTTTTTTTTTTTTGCTGGGGTTTCCCAGCTCCAGGGGATGTAGATTTCGACTATCCGCGCCTGGTACCCACTCCTTCTTTCACGGGGACATTTTAACCTCTCACACACGACACTTGTGCGGGCTCCTCGGTCTGTGATCAACCATCAGACTCACAAGACCTTCCGCAACAACACACACATATCATGAAAGACAAGGAACAAACAACCATGTCCACGGCGGAACTCGAACCTGTGACCCATCAGACCGAGGCGCTGAGTCTGCACACGCTCAAGCTATCCAGGTTGGCAAAATTTCCTGAGCCTGTCCGCATGGCCGTGATCGTTAAGGCAGTAGTGCTGTAACGATCTCGTACACGTAGGCTTCCGCGTCTCGAGTCCATGACTTCTAGGCTGTCCGCGTGACGCCGCGTCCTTGGCAGAGAGGCCGACGTTTCGCCTGTCATATCACAGACTTCGTCAGGGTAGTGACACAGTAAAGCTCCGCCTCCGGTGTTAGAAGCCACAGAAATATAATAAATATTATCTAAAAATAAAATATTTCTTTTAACAAATAACCTCCGTGCGCAGCCTTCATTCAAATAGAATGCTTCGGAGATATTTGTGTGCCTGTAAAAGTTCTTTCGAGAGGAATAATCAAACACTGACGAAATCTGGAACATTTTTTTAATGACAAGATGTTTCAAATAGGAAAATAACAGACTATACTTAGACCATTGAGGGTCCATGTAACGAAATAAATTGGCATCTCTCTAAACAAAAGGGGAAAATATATTAAAATGGATTAGTACCTGCTTGCTAAGTAACCGAAGGCACATCCAGAAGTCTGAGACTGTACTGCGAATTTTCAGAAAAGTTCTAACATAAAAATGATGCTGGGGTCCGAAAAGACCCAAGGAAGGAGCAATGGCTCCACAAAGCACAAGGCGTGCAACACTACTTAAAAAGCGTAAACAAGTGTCACACGTGAAGAAGACCTTGCGCCGGCAGCACCTACCTCCCAATCCTCGTCGATGAGCCGAGAGCCAGGGCTCCGGGTGGAGGTGCTGGACCAGAGCGCCGGCAGTGGCGGCGGCGGCGGCAACCAGCGCTTCACGTTGAGGTACAGCGGCGAAATCATCTTCTAAGAAAAACTATCGAACGAATCCGAAGTATATTTTATTGAGCAATGAAGTGAAAAAAATGTTAAAAATTAAGAAATGATTACCTAAAAACGAAAATATTTTTAAATAAATGATGAGGTCATAATTATCATCTGAAATGCTTTGTCGGCAAAAGAGCGGTGGTGGGTATCGCTTGCGATGCCCTACAAAACAACACGCAGCAGTGAAAGTTAAAAACCATTATTTTTTTAAAATATTATTTATTTAACGTCAAAAACTGTGTTACATTCTGTGGGGTGCACTTCTCATAAACACGTTGAATAATGAATGTAGGTGGAAGTGGGCGTATTTTGGCAAGAATTGATAAGACAATATTCGTTATTGTGGAATAAAAACTATTTGCAACTAATTTTTATCGAGCGATAAATCATCGACTTTGTGCAGGACTCCACTTACTGTCGCGAGAACATTGAGAACGATGATTTGAATAACTGTATTCCGAACTGAATTCTAGAAAATGAGCACAGTTACTGAAGCTACATTCGCGTGCAATTACATATTCGAGAACAATACACCCAATTAAAAATGAACATAAATCCATTAAATTACACCATCTCAATAACTCAAATGATACAGACTGTCAGAATTAATTGGCAATGCTAGATGCACTTAACACTACAGTCAAGGGAGAATTTTTGAGTGAAAGATAGGCGAAAACATTTAGGCTAACAAGTCGGGTAGGCGGCGTCGTGGATGAGGCTTGGGCGGGAGTCTCCAGCACTAACTTAAGGGGATTAAAGTGACTCTAGTGAATAGAGTGCATTTCACATCCAGAAAAAAAAACGTTATTTGCGACACAGCTTTTGTGAGACACAAAGAAACAAATTACGGTTTCATAGGGAGGAATTTATGTAATTACATGAAATAACTTTATATAAATTGCAGAAAATAAAATATTTTGTATGGCATAAAGACCCACCACTGTCTAGTTTCTGGGCTAGTATGAATAAATTCCATGGTCAGGGAAGAAGAAAGTGTAAGCTTATACATTTATTCATACAATTATCAGAGGTTGAATTATAAAAAGTAACATTATAGATATTTATTTATATTTGTACAGTTTGTTCTATTTTATTTTTCAATACTGTTCATTGTGTCCAGTATGAAAATTACTGAAGCTGAGAATTATTAAAGCTTAACTAATGAAGATATGCATTGTATAAATCTTTAGAGCTGCATTATTAGAGCTGTATAGTAATAAAACTATTGATGGCCTTATTAATGTCCTGACCATTGTCCTGGAGAGAAAGTCCTCAAGAAAACAAGTTTCAAGTGATTATGTCTTTTGCAATGCATTGTGTCAGAGAAAATGTTGTTGAACTCAATATGAAAAGAGATTTAAATGTTTCGAAAATTAAACATCTGATCATTTTAGAGCCATCCAAAATACACGATGCATTATGCTGGATAAAATACAGAGCTACAGTGGAAAGGGGTTACTATAAAATACAAATATTATTAAAAAAACGAATTTAATCCTCAAGAAAACAAGTTTCAAGTGATTATGTCTTTTGCAATGCAATACAAATATTATTAAAAAAACCAATTTATCATTCCTCTTAAAACTTGAATTACATTTTATGACCGTTATTAGAATATTTTATTACAAAAATCCAGATGCAGAGTCCCCATGAATAGGGGAGTTCCCAGAGCCCTATTCAATAATTTTTGTTCTTTTTACTTATAGCGAAATCCCGTTCTGCATTCACCTATATGTTGTATAATTGATTTTAACACAGGCAAAAAATGTATTTTATCAATAATTTAACCCATTTGATTGGACCCCCCAAAATCTATTTCTAAATACTTCCTTCATCAAGTCCCTGAATCGAGTAGCTAAACTGATTGGGGTGCAGATCTTTGCTAAAGGATGCTGATTTGAATCCAGTGTAGGATATCATGCTATTGTCGCATAGAAAGCAATGACTATCTACTATGTATTTTGTATAATAGAACAGATATGAATAATTCTGTAATCACATTATCATTGCCCTGGAGTGAAAGTCACAAGCGGACACAAGCACAAGCACAGCAAGAAATACTACTTCACAGAGTGTAGAAATATCTATAATCTCTCAACATAACCCTATTTGCTCGACGAGTGTCATATGAATGTGATTAATTTGGAATATAGCTTGAAGCATTTCCTTCAGGGCATTGAGTCTACTTTATCCACCAAATTTCAGCAGTGCTGTTAATCTGGCTAATATCAAAGGTAACATTTTGCAGGGGGGAGGATCTTCTCATTTCTCTGGGAGATGTAAGGACCAAGAGGGCTAAATGGATAGTGGGAGAAACGCTCAAATGCTGCTATCTCAAAAACGGCTACATTTTTTTTGTATGGATAGTATTAATAGTACTGTTTAAGAAGATATAAAATTATTTTGATTTATTCTTTTGTTTTTACAAAAATTACACAAAGGTAATGTTTTTGAAAAGTATCTCACGCCGTTAACGTACACATTTCTAGCAACTTGTAAAAATTTTGCATTTTTGACTGGAATGACTTCAAATGATCTCAAATGAAGTTTTTTGAAAACTCAATAATTTTCTGTGAAAAAGGGCTTTAAATTTTGCATTTACGCATCATGCTTAGTCACCATTTTCTTAAAAACAGCCTCAAATTTTTAATGAAAATTATGTTTTAAGAAAAATCTTTGCAGAAAATTTTGAAAATGTCACAGGGACTGCATATAAAGTACCTCCTAAAAGTAAAATACCTATCGTAATGATATCCAGAATGACATAAATAGACCTTACTCACATCTTACATTTCCTCTTATAATCTAATGGTACTAATAATATATATTTGTAGAAAATGTAGGAAATTTTAATATATATATATATANNTATATATATATATATACATATATATATATTAAAATTTAGGATTTACTCTTCTTTAATAATATTAAAGTAATATTTCTGTTCTCCTATTAGAAAACCAAAAAATTGAGAAAATTTTTTAAAAAATGTATGTTGGATAGCGATAGATGGCCACTGTCAAAACTATGTGGCAAGTCCGAATAGCTAGCCCAAACCAAATAAAATAGAAAACTAATACTGAAAGTCTTACCATTTTGTAGCTCCACTAGTTAAAGATTTGGTCTCCTTAGAGGTCCTATAGAAGTGAACATTTCTTATATTAAAATGCTGTTTTTTACCTTTTCTCAAAATAGTATAGTAGGAAAGAGAAGGAAATTTGGAACTCAGGAAGACATGTACACCCACATACATCATATCTGACTCATCATATACAATTGAAATTGTATATGATTGAAAGTAATGTACCTCAATAATACATCTTGACTTCACTGTGAAATCCATTTGACATTTTCAAAATTTTCTACAATGTTTTTTCTTAAATATTTTGTGAATGAAAGTACATTTATATACAATATGTTAGTGTGGAGTACATCAAAATATAGGCTAGTTCCAATTTCCATAAAAAAACTCAAACTTTAGAAAACTGAGAAAATTCAAATTAATTTTCGTATCTGTCACCTTTGATATTAAATGTAGAGATATCTCTCTCAATGCAATTTGTCTCTCAATTTTAGATACTTATATGTTGTCAACCACTTACAAAGAGCTTTTTCTCTCCTTTCAATCAATACTCAATTGAGGCATTTGAGGATCTATCTGACATGACTTCTCTTGAGCTCTGTGTTTGGATCTTCTTTTTGTTGGCAGGTTGACTAAGTATCACATCTGCCTTCCATTTTAGAAACACCATCAGAAATGAAGGCTGTATAAATATAATTCATACTGTGTTGTAGAAATATAATACATAAGGGAAAGATTATTAGAAGTTGAAATACATTATATTCTACTTTTTCTTTCCCTTATATTTAAATTGAATAGTCGGACAATGTCTACTGTGACTCCCCTCATACTACATCAGTGAGACTGAAAATAGTAAAGAATTATTTAAAATCTACCTTAAAACAAAACTGTCTTGATTCGATCTGTGCAGACTCAGGATTCTCACTATAGTGTGGTCATTCATTTTCTATCAGAAAAGAAAATATATTGCATAGCAATGTAATCTTGATATTTTAAAAGTAAAATAAACAATTACAATGTATTAAATGTGTAGGAGGAGTTTGTCTATTTGATTTCTAAGATTGTTTGAATACTTTTTAAAATCAAGTTACACTCAATAAATAAAAAAATTAACGTTCATTTTTACTAAATTACTACTGAATTCTGATTGCTGTTTTGTCACCCCAAACTTTTCCTATCCTTTGCTGGTGTCAGAGCTATACTTGTAATACTTGAGGTATTTTACGAGTAAACTATTTTTCCTGTTCAACAATAAAAGTAACAATCATAGATAAGTAAAGCAGACCATTCCTCTATCTTGGGAACAAGAATGAAGGAAGGATTTGGTATGAACATTATAAAGAGGTTTGTCCCATTATCCTTTGTTTCTAATTTTATTTAAGACCAATGCTGTTCCAAGAAAATTGATATTTTAGACTATCTCTCTCTCTCTAACATAACTCTTCTATCACCTATCTGCTTTCTAAATGATGCTGCATAGTATAAAGAGGATTTTAAAGAAAACATTTTATTTCCACAAGACATGGGCACCCAGAAGATGTGGTAGTTGAGGTAACTTTCCCTAGGCCCCTGACTTAATTGGCCCCACATTTTTTAAAATTCAAAACAAATAAAAATGTAATTACTTGTAATTCAAATAAACAGCTTCATAGTGCGTAGAGAAATGAATTCTCTTTGTAAGTGTGTGAGAACTTTTGTTTGAAATAAGAGACTTGTGTAGATGAACTGCCCCAAGCCTTTTGTTTTCTCTGGGTCACCCTGCCACAAAGAAAATAAGGTTAGTGTTCAAAAATTGACAATTCACTTTCATAATGTGCCTCCATTAGTCGCAATTAGGTTTTTAAGTTTTGTCAAAACATAAATAAAAAATAAATATTAAATATACTTGAATAATGGATCTGAATGATAATTCAAGCATGTTTCAGACAATAAACAAATAAATTTAATGGGTTCATTTTCAAAGTGTACTTATTCAGAGTTACATCTGTCTATTTTGATGTGCTTACCTTAAATTTTGATGTGCTTGATTTTTTTTTAAAAGTAGATTTGATCAAATATGAGATGAGACTGAAAAATGAAATAGTAGGTAGTGTAGGGTCTTCACTTAACTACTCTCTGGGTCTTATTTAAATTGCATAACATGGGTGTAAGCAAATAAACAGTTGAAATTATTAAAAAACTTCTTTATGGAGATGTAAGTTAGGATTATATACAAATTACAACAAGGAATTGTAATAAAGACCAAATAGAATTTATTTTCATAAGTCTGTGGCAAATCATTATATATCGACTAAAAAGCATTTCTATATACATGCAATACACATACCATACAACAAATGAAAACATTCATCCCTTTTTATTTTAATGAGTCGATATTTTCACTAATGATCTGCCATTATGTTTCTTTCCAATTTTGAATTATTAAAAGCCAAAGCTTTCAGTTACCTATGTAAGATTTGTATGCCAGCATATTTAAGCTTTTTGTGCGTTTATGATTTTCCTTATTGCCATACAGTACTATAATTTTGAGCACATATTGACTCTAGGAATTCACGTAGCAACATTTGCTATATTTTTTTAAAATTTTGGTACTATTATAATTTACAATATTGCATATTAGACTCATTTGCAAGTTTATACTGACATATAAATTAATATTGTTGGAAGTGATGCATTTGAGAAGAAGCTGGGTATTTTTGTATATCATCTGAAATGCATGTATGCACTCAGTGCATCATTATGGAATAATGTTACAAAGGTGGCACAAAGTGAATGTTTTGAAATGAAAAGGAAATAGTATTACTATAAACCAATTGGGTCATTAAAACTAAACTGTATTAAGAGTAAAGACATACATTTTATTTTTATTTACAGCATAACTATGAAAGTTTTGCAACACACATGGTCTGTCACACTTCCATCTAAATAAGGAACTTCCAATCGTCAGGAAAAGTTGTGTGTATAGTAAAATATGAAAAGTACAGTAAACTCCCAACTGCTAACAGATAATTTAGATATATGGATCAAATTAATGAATTCTCATAATTTTAACATATTTAATATATGAATTGGGTTCTGATCTAATTCAAAAGTTTCATTTAAAATGCATTATTGCATTGTCATGAAAACCCTTTTCCTTATTATTTTGCGTTTATTACTTATCTTCTCCATTAACTTTCATTTCACTAATAAAACAAGTTATTAATCATTTATTGCCTTTCTGTGCTTCATGTCTCATAAAGGCAATTGAGAGTTTTCTGCATGAGGAATGTATTTTACACAAATTACAAATTATTTATTTTATCATACCCCAACATCTCTGGCAAAAATTGCAAAAGGTATGGAAGGGTATGCAATAATAACCTAAGATCTCATAAACAAATTTACTGAAAATTATTCAACTTTCAATTGGAACAAAAACTTATTAACAAAATCACTCTTCAACTCAAAATTAATGTGACTGATACTTCCAATATTACATCTAAAGTATTTGTTTGATAGTGGGTAAAAATTTCAAAGCACTAAATCAAATAGCTAGAAATAAAATGATCATTGTCATAGCTAATAAAACAATTAACAATAGTTCAATGTGCTCTCTCATTGTTGTTTATAACAATGTTATGTTACTACTAAATTTTTGTTAGGATTTCAAAGATGCAAATTACAGTGACAATTTTCTCCAAAAATTAATGTGTTATTATCTACTAATATTTCATGTCTTTATCAGATTACGATGAAATTCTTCATAATGGAGAGGCATTGTTATATTGTCTGGATTATTACGTCACAGATAAGTTATTGTCAGACATTTACGAATATGGTATATATTGCGCACTATATAGTAGGATTATATAGTACACTATATAGTATTAAAGGCACTCAATACTTCCAATAAATCTAAATTAATATTTTACTAAACAAGCTTACCACCATTAAGTCATTAAAGTAATAAATTTTATATTTGTATTTATGGCATTTGTAATCCTAAAATGAAAACTAGGCAAGTTTCCAAATTAAGAAAATGAACATTAGAAATGTCAGAGATTCCCTCATTCTATTCAATCTTAATAAAAAAAAATCATACAATGAGCACACTAAATGTGTTCAGGCCTTGTACAACTGTATTCACATTTTTCCAGCACCAAATACTTCTAAATGTATGCACTTACCTTTCTTTTATAAGCTATTACTTCATTTATTCTAATCAACCAGAAGCATACACACTAGTACATAATTGTGAAAGTAGTATAATAATATAAAGCACTGAAATTATTTATAAAAATATCTTCTTTCTTCAGATGTAAACTACATTCTTGAAGAAAGCTTATACATCTGTGCAAATTATACAAAGCAGAAAACTCTTTCATGCATTGTATCTCACAAGATGATACAATGATCTGTTAATTAATGTAGTACAAAGATATTTTGTCACAATATAAAGTTCTTAAAAACTTGTGTATATACATGGAAAGGGCATAAACTGTTCATTCCTATACCAATAAAATACTCAATAAGAATTTACACACCAATTAATATTATTGTTACTCAAAGAAGGACTATTATGAAATGGAAATCTTGCCTAGTATTTCTGTCTACATTCCTGGTCAGTGAAATCATGACATCACATCTTAACAAAATAAGTTCACAAAATCACTTTGTAGTAGAATCCGTTGTTAGACTCAATGATTTTTTACTGTAATATTAAAGTCCAACACTCACAGTTATGTAATATACAAGTTACAACTAGCACTCACAATCAAAGGTAAACTTTTATAGTTCTTTTTACACTTCTATTCTATTCCCACTTAAAATGAAATAAAAACATTTTCTATTGTAAACTACTCTAAATAAATTTTAATGGTTTAACATTCACATTGCTATACAACAATCATTATACCACGGTTAGTTTCAATATGACAACTACTCTCATAAGGAACAAATATTCTTGTAGCAAAGAATGATTTGAACATCATATGTTTTGTACTATTGGTTATATCTAATGAGAGGAAAACTTTGTAGGATTTTCTAATGGATATGATTCTCTGGAAACTGGCAAAATAAATTGAAAAAAAAAATTAAATATTTAGTAATATGAAAAATGGAGAGACCTTAGAATTCATGTTGCCTTGTTGTAAATATATTGGTAGGTTTTAGTACTTTTGAAAAAGAGGGGGGAAAATTTCAACTGTTTCAAATTTTTCTGTTTGCACAAAATGTCATGTTTTTAGCTCTTGTCTACCATTTACAATCATAGTGTTCTGAAATGTTTACAATTTTTATCAATATTCTTATAAGTTAGCATAAATGATAACCCAAAACACGTTTAATGGAAGGATTGAATTTGATTAAACAATGACCATTTTATATTTTAAAAAATGTGGCACAATAAATAACAAGATTATTTGTTCCATGTACCAGAGAGAGAATTCACATCATATGGAAATAAATTTGGATTTTTACAGCACAAACACTTTCACTAATATAGTTCTTATTCATAGAAAATAAAATGCATCAACAATTCAATAGCATGAAAATACACTCACTATCTCATTCACTCACAGATAATACTCATTGTTAAATGAAAAGTGCATCTTGCAAAGATCTTCTCGGTAATGCTTTCTTTCTTGTGAAGAAATAATTGAGATGTATCAGCTTGCAAATTTGGACATTTTGAGTGATGAAGGCGTCGTTATTGTCATTTTATATTTTACAGAAATTTTTTGTTTAATCCTCTACAATATTTTATTGTTTGTTCTTATTGCACAGAATTTTTCTAATTTCAATATGAATTTTCATGAAATGTGATTCTGATCTACTGTAAAATTATTGTCATATCATGGCAGACTTTTTGTCTTATATTTATATTACTTTCTTCCCATAGATATTGTGTTGAGAAACTTTTTTGAATAACTTTAAACAGTATTAATACTTTTCTTCAACAATAATATCCATTCTCTTGTCTTATAATATACATAACAGGATGTTCCTAACAACTAACTAGAGCAAATTCTGTGAATATTTCTTTCCATATAAAAGTCTTTGTATCTCTTATAACATTTGGTTATGCCCCATTCTAGTAACACAATAAATCCAAAGCATGTTGTAGACAATTTATCTCACACAGTCATTAAGAAAATTTAGATTATTTCATCAAACATCTCAAACACGTGCTTCTCTTTGAATTCCATTTAGTCTTTGATGACATATATTATTTAAAATTTCAAGAAAAGATCAATTTTAGTTTTGTTATTAAAAAATGAATATAGATTAATTCAAGTACAATTTAACAAAAATCATAAAATGCTGAGGAAGATATTATTTACTAGAATGGCAATAATTAATTATACATGATTTTATATTTACATCCTAATGTAAAATTTATAAAATCACAAATATTGTGATATTTGAAAAATCTTTATATACCAATACCTACCTTCTGGTGGTGAAATGTCATTTCTTTCATGCGTATTGTATTAATAATTGATACATATAGTACATATTTGACATTTGACTAGTCATTGACATTTGGGCCAGTAGAGTAGCAGCTGCAAATTGAGATTATATCTTCATATATAAATTAAATTCAGTGAAATATTATTTTGTTGAAATATGAAGAATCCAGAAAAAAGAAAAGCTTCAATATAAATTAAAAAAAGGATTATTGTCATGGTTCCTGTATCCTTTTTTTAAGAATATCAGACAGATTTGTCCCCATAACTTTTTTGCTTAATCATCTAACACATACTTTATGATATGAAACAACTTGATATGTCAGATAGTTGCGTTCTGCTTTCCCCATACTCTCATAATAATTTTGAGATGAAACCATCTCTCAAATGATGAATATGGTACTAGGATGAAATGAAGCAAGCTTTATAGAGAAAAGTTCAAAATCTTAACATTGTGTTTAACAGAGGAAAAAAAGTAAAAATGTAAAAAAGAAAAGAAACGTTAGAAAAAGGGAATAAGAAAGGATGTAATTGTAATAAATGAATATGAAGATGACGATTTTTGGTAGATTTATGGTTAAATATAGTTTTGGAGTAAATTGGAGGAGCATAATATTTTGGAATAACAATGTACAGGACTAGATATGTTGAATTATGTTGAATAAAACAAATTTTTGAAACTGAAATAAAAAGAAAATAATAAAAACATACAATCAAACTTTTATTTTCAATTAATACTTAATGCATACCAAAAGAATAGCAAAATAATTCAAATTCATAAATTATATTTTGAAAAAATAACTGTATTGACGTTTCGATTTGTTTTGTTTAAATTGATGAGACATACATAAATCGTAAAGTAAACATATTCTTAAACAAAACAGTCTATGAATTCCATTCACCATCAATCTAAAACATTATAAAATGTTATCAGTTTTATTTACTGTAAAATAATTATATTCTCTATATTTTTATTAGAAATTTAACTAATTAAAAAATAAAATATCAAACACCAAAGTTGTTTGAAACAACTTATTATACCACTTAAAAAATTAAATAGAAAAAACAAATGCTAATTTAAATCAAAAGGCTTTGTGATAGGATATGTTTAATTGACATTATTAATTAAAATATTTGTGTCTTAATTTTTGTATCTTTTATCTATTCTGTACTTCATTTCACCAGTTTTTCCATTTATAATTAATAGCATTAATATTGCTCAGAAGTCCAATGCATTGCAAGCTTGTAGCAAACTGATATGCTACTTTTCTTTAATATAGACAATACCTTCCACAGATATTGCAGTTTTTTAAACTAAGATGTTTGATTTTCAGTGATATGTGGAAGTTTCTTCTCATGCATTGTTTTGCAACACGCAGTGAACATCACAAATATGTACAGCAGACAATGTGGTTATACATTTTATGTATTTATTGCACCAAGTCTAATTGAAATGAAATGTGTAGTTTCAACTACTAAAACTGTTTCTGGCATAGTATTTTATGCATTTATTCCAGTAGTTTCCCATATTACTTCAAGAAACAATTTCCCTTCAAAAACATACCCATTTCATATTCAAGAAGACACAGACAATATCATATAGGACTTGCACATATCTGTGAAATAATGAGCTTCTTCACCTCATGAAGAAATGAAGTGTCATGAGAGGCAACAATATGCTTGGAGTAAGGAAAGAAATGGCACTACTCATGCCATTTTGTTGTGATCTGTAACCCATATCTACAACATGGATTTTCCATCCTAAGTTGTTGTGTGTGTAACACTGGAAAGAAAAAAAGAAAATAATAATATTAAATACATGTTCAAAATTATAATTGAAAGACAGCCTCCTAAAAGAGCTCAAAAACCCACTATTTAATGAATTATCAAATAATATATATTGTTATAAAATGTGTATGAAAATTATGATAAAGAAATTGTGCAAACATTATGCAAGTGCATGAGGTGTCATTTAATTTCAATGAGCCCAGAGGTAAATCAATTTAGATTTCAAACTAGTTACAGTAAAACTTCACTTACATGTTTTTCAGGGGACTAAGGGGGAAAATGTATAAGCAACAAAAACACATAACTGAAATTGATTATTATGAGCAAAATAAAGACTCAATATTTTCACCATCGTTTTCCCAGTTCTTTAGCAATACCTTTTATTGCCACTCTTCCTAACAACCTTTAAAATTTTTATTTTATCTGATATTGAAAGGGGTTGCCTTTTCCTTCCACTCTTTTTCGTTTAATAACGCAAAACCAGATAGAATACGAACTATACTTCGATTTAAGGAGCCGGAGGTCATCAGCGAAGCATATCCGCTACATCCCCTCCCCCCTGAAGGGTGTGTGTATAGTGGATGCTGATGACCTTGTGCGACTCTATTTCACTGCGAAAACAAAAACCGTGTTCTGCGTGGGCTACAACTGGCGACGACCTGGCTGCGGGTTGCTTCGGTTTCAAGCTTGATGTTACTTGCGATTCCGCGCTCAAAGTATGGTGTTCTACGTGGGCGACAGGAAGCGCACGACTGCCACGGCCTGGCGACACCCGCCGCGCGGAAACGCTTCAAGTTTCATTAGCTGCTTGTGCCATGCCGCCCCCGAAAGGATCTCGTATGATAATTACGACGAGCAAAAGGGCCTTCGGAGGGTGGAACTGTCAGTGAATAAACTTCACTTATTGGTCATCTACGTCGTTTCTCCCCAGGTGGAAATTCCCGCGTAGTGCCGATACTGATAAACGGCGCAAGCTTGAGCCAACACTGGCGAACGACAGTTGGTAATCAGTACTGTCGCAGCGCTGGTAAATTTTTTTACCGTTCAAATGCCGATGCTTGGTAATAAGTACTGGCGCAATATTGCTTAATTTTTTGAACTATACTGTCGCATTACTTAGTTTATTTACAATACGTATATCATTTTTTACTATTTCCCAATATATATATATATATATATATATATATATATATATATATATATATATATATATATATATATATATATATATATATACTGATTATATAGTGTTGTACCCTGATAAAATGAAAGTTTGAAAACAATCTGAAATGTACTAAACTTTCTGAAATTTATGAATTATTAGAGCTTTTCAGACCACGGAATAAACGAAAAGCCAGTATACTGGCTTTTGCACCATCGACCATGCATTGACAGCCAGTACTGGCTTTTGCACCACCGGCCATGCATCGACAGCCAGTACTGTCTTTTGCATCACCGGTCATACATCGACAGCCAGTACTGGCTTTGTACCACCGGCCAAACACCGGCAGCCAGTACTGGCTTTGCACCATCGACCATGCATCGACAGCCAGTACTGGCTTTTGCACCACCGGCCATGCATCGACAGCCAGTACTGGCGCAACGTAAATTAGCGTTACACCTCCATTACCGCGCCAACGGCTGGTCACCAACGGTTGAGCACTGTTTGCCAGTACTGGGCCTTTACTGCGCCAATTTCTAATTTCCACCTGGGTCTCTGCCAGGGGCGCCTGTGACCTTCCCTCGGAGATGGCCGTCGCCTCCCGAGATCTTCAGAGAGCTCCCGTACGCACCCGACTCGGACATTTTTCCAAGTTCCGCTGCCGGAGGTGGCCCGGGAACCGACTTAGCTCTACCACCCAACGGGCTGCCTCAACTAAGCAGAGCTGAGTTTCTATATTACAAGTTTCATTAGCGGGATCGCTCCGCGGGAGCGATCTGGACCGTGCCGACAAGAGAAACATACAAGTTTCGGGTTCTAGCCGCCTCACCGGGATCATATGAACGTTAAACGGTTTTATTTTGTTATGAACGTATAAGTGTGAAAAACGTATAATCGCAAAACGCTTAACTGAAATAATTTAACATGGAAATTATAGGAATTTATCCGGGACCTACCAAAAAATAAAAACAAAAAACAAACTAATAAACATGAAAAACGTATAAGTGAGTAACTTGAAAAACGGAGTTTCACTGTATTTGTATTGATACTTTTTAAGTGTATGAACTAGATAATCTGTATAGAGAATAGTGAACTGATGCCAAGCTCAATATTGTTAATGGTTCAGGTATTGGTGTGTTTGTTCATTTCAGGTAAAAATCATTCCCTTGTTGGCAATCACTTTGGCTTCAAGGTAATTGAAATGGTAGAAATTCAGTTTTTCTCAAACAAGATGAGAGTGCGGTTTGCTAAACTAAATTTGTGTAAAATTTCATGTACTATACAATAACATTAGCATGCCAAATACTAGTGTGAAATTGCTTACTATGTTCTTGTAAATATTCTACGAAATTTTCAGTTTGTTCAAATGCATCCCGTGTAGACTAAGATTTTAGTATACTTTTGACATTCTTTGATATTCTATTTTAGATTTCTAAGCAATACCATTTTAATTTTAAAATAAATAAACATAGAGGTAAACCAGAGATGAGACTGACTGATATAATTAAATTACATTCAATTTGTTCCTGGTTTTATCAACGATAGTCCTAAGCACTTTTTTTTCTTACGGGATGTTACATTAAGAATAAATTTTTAAATTTAATAAAGGATTCAATCTGTTTGTTAATATTTGTTGGTTTTATTCACATATTATTTTTCTTTACTTTATGAGAACTTGGATTTCATCATTGAGAATAATTCAATCTTAGTTCTCATAAATCTTGCTTGCAAAACTTAGCGCATATTTTCATGAAAATGTCTGGCTATTGTGACTTTTAATTTTGTTTTATCAATACTTAATAGAACCATTTCATAAAAGCCTCTTTCACTATGTGCTGCTTCTCCTATGAGACCATATTTTAATAATAAAGTCATGCAGAATGAATCACACAAGAAACACAAAATTTTTATGCATAAGGTTTTAAAAGAACTAATTTATCTACATGACCTTTTATCTGAACTCATTACTCATACAAGTGTCATAATAATTTTAATTTCATTCATCACATTCAATAAATTCATATTAAGTAAGAGTTAAACCATAATTGTTTTCAACTTTCCTAGTTTGGCATAGCTACTTAAAGATGGAATAAACCCCTGCAATATATCAGAGAAACTAATATTACTTTCTCAAATATTTATTTGCAAAATATTACCCTTTTAAATGCAGATTTTCAAAATTAGGAGTCTGCCAAGAAAAAGAAAATATCAAAGAATATTATGAAAACCAAAAGATATATAATATTCTCATTCTCATGGTAAGTAGGTGAAAAATGTTTTAGGTGCTTACACACAAAGAGTGGAAGAAATTCGTTCCTTGTTATAATTGACAAAATTACTTGAATTAACATTTCATCATAACTAAACTTTATACTATACTTTACTTTATTTTTGTGAATAAAAAATAAATCTTGCTTGTTGAACCCTCGAGAAAAAGTATATTAATGCTTCCTGCAATATGGCAGAAAAGCATTTGAAAAGCAGTATATTGAGTTTTGTAAAGAACGACATTCCTTATACCAGTTGATGTTATTACCCTTGTTAATGTCAGGTATGTAATTGTTTGCAATGGAACCAAATGTTTGTTTTAAAAGATTCATTAGGCCAACAACAAAATAGTCCATGTAACTCTAGCAACTGTTCTTTAAAATACTTTAGGTTATCTCTGTTCACTTTAAAGAGTATTTAATAACAATTAAATATTATGACATCTTAACTCTGACTTTTGAGAGATAAATGCAAATAAGATCCCTCCTCAAAACTTTTAGAACATAAAATGTTAAAAACTTGATCTTGTATATGAAAAAATATAGTATATATAGTTTCTAAAAGTTTCACTGAAAGTAAGTGTATAAAACATAGACAAACTATAAAACACATTATAAGATTAATCAACAAAAGTCATTCTCAATATAAGTTAAGTAAATTAATAATTTTCATCAACAAGTTTGATATTCTTACCTGGTAATAAACTAGGTCTGGTGTTTCTGGAGCTACTGTCCAATTGAGGTATGCAGGCTCACCCTCATCACACACCAATCGTAATGTGCTGAGGTATTCATTAAAACTTTCAATTTTTAATGACTGATCTACTGTTTTATGAACCCATTCACAATAACGACCCGCTGCAAAGAAAATAAAAGAATATCAGAAATATAAATATTCTTGGTTGAAATTTTTATTGACATTTTGCATCATGCAACTTTAAAACAATATCAAAATATACCAGCTGTAGGATAAGGATAGCCCTCAGCATCAAATCCAACTCCAGCAAATACTCGTTGCTTTTTCCTCTGATCTTCTGTTTTTTGTCCATAACCCCCTTCCTTATTGTCAGTGATATAGAATGGATGATACTTGGCAGGATTTGTAGGATCAATTCCTAGGATCAGAGAAGAATTCAAATCAGTCAATATCTGGTGTATGAAAAGTGAAGATGGTTAAATAACATGATAATGGAAGTGAAAATACTTGGAATAGATAATTATAATTTTATCTTCAGGAAAAACTATTTCTGAACTTTGTTAGAATTTCAAATAAAATAAGGAGGAATCTAAGTCACAACATGTACATATTGTTATCTTACATAAAAATAAACCACAATTAATTTATAATTATGACTTAATTTATCATAAGTAGCTGAACCTGCGCAAAAATTTAGCACATTTGGTTGCAAAAAGGATACAAATACTACAATTTTTAAGCCTATATTAAATTCTTTAATAATAATTTGAAGTTTTTAATAAAGTTTATTAAACAGGATCAGCTTTAACATAACTGATTTTTGTATTATTTTAACACGTTATTTTGAATAAATATTAGTGACACCCCAATAAGGGGATCATTTGAATTTTACCCTCTTCTGCATAAAAAAATCTCATTTTGTAGATTGGGGAATAGAAAATCAATACCTGTGTCCCTTTGCGATACGAAAATCTGGTTTTATGGCTCTAATGTGAATCATATTTGATTTATGTATGTCAGTAGTGTGCAGTATATTGCAGGTGGCATCTGCATGATCTACAATTTATTTAATTTAATGTATTTGTAACACTTTATACATAAATTTCAGCCCTCTGCACACCTTCTCCATATGAACTTTAACTATGCCTGTATATACATATATTTAAAGTTATGGTTAAACAATTCAAAAACAGCTTGTATTTAGAATGGAATGGCATCAAATAAACAAGATCATATTTGAACATGATCACTTACCTCCTTCTACAACAAATGTGTAGGTTTGTCCACGTTCTACAAATATTTCTGGTATAAGAAGATCATTAACATACCATGCAATACCCCATGAAGGAAGTCCTGAAATTAAAATTATTAATTATGAGGGGAAAAAATATAATTTTTAGAGACAAATGTAATGAATATAGTTTTAATATATAGAAGTATTTAAAAATACTTCATTGATACTCACCTGTAATTGCTGTGTACCCTCTCTTTCCACCTGTGGGTCCTATTCGAACACTGAATGTGTTTTCACCAGTGATCATTTGAGGTTCCCAAGCCTGAACTCCAGGGTCAGTGGGCAGGTCAAATAAGGATGTAGTACAAGCATGATCATTTCGACTACTGAAATCTATTCGGATGTCATCTAAAACATAGGGATATTGGTATATTGTAATGCCTTTCTTTAGATAAAATTATGCAAGTGTCATAAAAAAGGATGAAATCATAAGAAAATAATTGATAAAATAGTACCTTTTGTTTTGTCAGGAATGTCATGAGAATTAGCCTCTTTACGACTGTTTAGTGCTCCAATGGCTGCAATGACATTAACTTCTCCATTACTAGGAATCCCACGATCATGAATTGGATCGTTTGTTATGAGAGGTCGAGTGTACGTAACAGTAGTAACACCATTCTTACGGTCACCTTGAATTAACTGTGCATCATCATTCCCACTAATTCTCACATCCGGACAAACTCCTCCTGTGCCATCACACTACAAACAAAATTCATATCAATAAAATAAGTTTTCCCTTGTGCAAATTTTTTAAAAATAAATATTTTTTGGATTTTTTTTTTTTTACCTGGGATGTTGCAGACATGTAATAATCTTCTGCCTTAAAGACTCTTTCATCAGTGTCATAGAATGCGACAACAACATCACCACCAACCATTGTAGACCTACAGATAAACAAAAAATGAATTAATGAGAATTAATGTGAAATAACTAAGTGAAAAAGTCAGAAAAAGGAAAAACAATGTTTGTTTTTGTACTTTTATAGAGGCAATTCACTTTGTTCTTGAGTTCATTAATGCATATGGCAATAGTTTTCACAAATAGTTTTGCTCACCGTCCTTGTTCTCCGCTCAATCCAAATGCCATCCATTGATCTTCCCTCATTTTTGCTGCAAGTTGTATTTGTACCACATCACCCTTCATTTCCCATCGCACTTGTAATCGGTCATCAAGGAAGGAACGACAATTACTGGCAATATCATCTGGATCAGGACTTCCCCTTGGGTCAGGAGTTGTACTGCTAGTCTGCAAGAGAAAGGCAAGATATTAAGTGTAAAATTTGAAAACAAGATGCATTATGTTTTTATTCTTGCAATCTTTTGTACCAAAAATAAATATATATATTATTAATATGACTCAGAAATAAGAAAAAAAAGATTAAAAATGTTCAATCAATCTTTTGTTAAACTGAATGATTTGTACTTTTGCGATGTCAACTACTTACAGGGTTGTACCACCAGGGAGGCTAGCAGGAACCATGGAAAGACATGCAAAGAAGGAAAGTCTTTTAAGCAACTTGTCATGAAAGAAATTGAAAGAAAATTAAAAACAGGCTGTCCAAAGTCTTCCATCCTGCAAGTCTTTGAAACTACCAATCTGTATACACATTCTGAAAATTTCATTGACAGTTCAGCGTATCAGGTGTAAACTTTTTCCCCCATTTCACAATTACAGTTTTCTTTCCTGAGTTTCATGAAAGACTGTATCTCAAATTCTTTCATGAACTGGAGTCTGATGAACAACTATCTTGGTGGTAAATAAAAGTATTGTAAACATGTTACCATGTGTATTATTGTCACTTCTCAATAAAACAATAGGTATGAAAAGTGTTTGTTCTTTAAGGCTAAATAGACCATACACACTGAATGTAAAAGCGTTACAAACTTTATTGTATTATTCAGGTTACATATAATTGTTGCACAGTCACTTCTTAATACGTAAGCAATGGCACATAGATAGCCACTGATTATCCAATAAATAAATAAACAAACAAACAAACAAACAAACCAATAAAATAAATATATACCACTTTTTCTAACAGTGGGGTGTTTAACTAACAGGTCTTGTATTTGTGCAAAAAAGTATTAAAAGTCTCTGAACAAAATATTTCCTTTCCAATGTACGTACTTTGAAGTTAAAAAATATCTTTGAAAATAAGTTTTAACATACATTTCCACAATAATTAACATACAAACTTAATACAAACTGGAAATAAGTGTATATACTCTTATCACATCTCAAATTAATACTACTGTAGTCAATGCAATAAACAGTACAAATTGGCAAGACAATGGTTGGCGACAAAGGAGGCAATTTCTTGAATATTTATTACAAACCTCAGTGAGTAATATTGATCATAAATATATATATGTTTATTGACTCCAAAGCTATTTTTCAAAAATATGTTTCCAGGTCATCTTATTGTATTTATGTACTACAATGCATTACAGTGTGAGAACAGCACATCACCATGAGAAGGAAACAATCTGCTATGTAGCAAGGAAAAGTAGTTTCCAGAAACATTTTAATACCCTGCATATGTATGGAGACAGAATAACATGAGAGTAGTGAATAAATGTAGCAGCAGGAAGTGGAGTAGGGGCAGAAGGCCCTTAGGCCCTCTTGCGGCTTACAGTGATTTTGGTCTGGCCTAGGGCTGGAGGCACGTCCAAGTCCTTGGGGATGAGTACATGACCAAAGTTGTGGCGATACTGAACACACCATACAGCAAGCCAATCAATATCATACACAGTCAGGTTTCCTGGTAACTGAATTTCAATATCCTCTCCTTGATAGCCTCGAAGGGGGTCCAGACTTCCGACTTCATTTGGTACCTGCGACAATGCAAAAATTTGAACATTTGTACCGTGTGCAGCTCTCAAGATAACAAAATATTCTTTTATTTGTGTTCATAAGACCAAACAATATTCAATGCGAAATATATTTCCAATGTATATAAAAGTTAACGCATGCATATATGTAAGTGCAAGTTAATGGTAATAGGTAATATGTTAGTATATGTTAATATTGTAAGCAACTACAAAATAATTGTAATATAAACATATCACAATTATTCTTATGTTTACTTAAATTCTTACTAATTTTTGTTTTTTCATCATAAAAAGTTAAACAAAAAAATCCTTATGTTATCCTTAAGTTATATTTTTCAAATCCTCATTATGATTTTATGAAGTTTCACTATGGATATATAAGAAATGCAAATAAACAAGCAAATAAATTAACAAACAAAAGAAAACAACTACAACAACAATAATAAACAATAATAAGAGAAATACAAAGTTAAAAAGAAAGAATAGACTTAAAACTCGATCTAAAGTGTACAGTACTGTAACGATTTCAACATTAGAAATAATACATTGTAAGAAAATGTTCTGTATAAAATGAATGGTAGTTATTCAACATAAAAGAATGTCATCACTTCCAAACATTTTCTACATAATCTCACCTTGATGCCAAGGGGACTGGGTTCAGTTCCATTACCAACCCAGAAGTATGCATCAGGTCCAGCACCATCATAATGCAAGTTTGGAATATAGAAGGTCTTTGCATCAAGTACACTGATGTTTCCAGATCGCAGACCATGTGCAAGTCTCTTGAATTCAGGAAGAACTCTTGGTTTGGGAACTTCAAGATTTTGGGGGATGAACACATTTCCAAAGTCAACCTGGAATTATAAATAGAGGAAAAATAAATTTCCTGACACAAAGTTTCAATGACAGCTGTAAAACGTAACAAATGAAGATCATATTAACATGAAATACAAATGTACTGTAAGTGCAATTTATTGCCCTTTAATTGAATAATATTCATTATTTTTGGGAACTTCTTCAAATATTTTGATACTTTAGTTTTCTTCTCTGTTAAGTACATTGCTCTGTTCAGAAGGGAGAAGAGATAAATATTATTTATTAATTTTACAAATAAACTGCACTTTTTTTAAGAACAAAATTAGTTGTGGTACAAACAGCATACACTTTCTCGCATTAGTATTTCTAAATTTTCCGTTTCGAAAATTCAGGCAGTTTAACGAAAAAGAGTCCTGTGCCATTCTTAGTACTCTCCGTGAAAAAACTTTAAAGAAAAAATGGGGCGGTTTTGAGATTTTTTTATAAATTGCTTTATTTTTGCAAAATCTACCACATTTTTCAAAAAAATTGACATGACCTTTTATGAAGAGCTGAGTTTTTAAAACGAATTTTGTTTCAGGCAAACACGTCTAACTTCAATATTGTGGTTTTAAAATGTTAAATTTGGTCAGTTTTCGAAAAAAAAAAGATTTCATCGGAAATGAGTCTAGCACCAAACTTTTTACCGTCGTTACACACGCAGAGAAATTTTAAAGTAAAAAAATGGAATTGTTATTGCGAAAAAATGTTTGAAGAAAATTAAAAACTGTCTATATTTCACCCCAAATTCCTCGAAAACTACTCAAAATATCGAAAAATTGCAAATGACCTTATTTTAAGATCTATCTTAAATGAACAAATTTCAATCAGGAAAAATCTCCATCTTCTATATTGTAGTTGTAGGAAGACGCCGAAGAAAAACAAAAACCTCGGCGACTTTCAAAACTTTTCCAATTTTCGAGAAATCAGGGATTTCAACGAAAATGAGACTTACACCATTATCTTAAACGTCCATGAGAAATGAGACATACACTTATCTTAAACGCTATCCGATGCAGAAGTTTAATCAAAACATTTGGAGCTATTTTTAAGAAAATGTTGAGACTATGTAAAACAAATCAAAATATCTGTTTCAAACTCAACTGTCCTCGAACTGTCCTCTTAAATGGATGGAGGAATATCAATTTTGGAGAAAATCGGCTGAACGGTTTATGCGCTAGCTTTGCCCACAGACGTTTTGCCTTCGTTCTATTTTTTGGTATCAAAGACCCATAAAACAAGGATTCTGAAGATACAGCATATGAGAGAAAGTAAATTACTATTTACGGGAACAAGTTGTCAATTACGAATTACGGGAACAATTTATCCGTTGTCATTACCAGGCCTCGCAATAAGAGTTTTCTGTCGAAAATGCGCCGTTTTCCGGTGCACGATCACAATACTTTCTCTTCTTGAGAAGTAAAGGCGAGAAAGTGAAAATGTGTCTCTTTGAAACACATTATTGAAGAATCAACATTATTTTATAAACAAGTTACACTGTCATAAAAAAGTTAAGGTTACAGGTTCAACTATATTCTTCTACAAGGTGAATACTATTTTCATCTGTAATCCAATACATAGAAATGTCATAAAGTCAAATTTAGGATTTGATGTTCTTGCTGTAGGTCTCTGTGTTGTCTTTATGTCCCTCTTTTCACTTCGCTATAGAGAAATACGCCCACACGGTCTTTTCTTTTTTCCAACCAACTGAGAGAGTTGAGTGTGACCAGTGTTGTCGCAGCAGCTTCTCTGATCGGAAGGTTCTTGGATTCGAGTTTCAGACGGTGGCGGATAACCAACACTTGCTATTCAGCCCGCTCGAATTCAAGGGTTGTCTGACGAAAGGTTCTCTGATCATAGTTATCAATGTTTTTTTTATCAATATCAGACGAAGTGTCATTACAAGTGGGCCGCAGACAGGGCACAAACTTCCCTTACCTATTCTCTCCCCTCACACATAAACATGCACGCACGCGGGCGCTTAAAACACACAAACACAAACAAGTACTATTGTACGCGCAAGTTTTCGTGAGCCCCGGAACTCCTCCCCCACTCCTTTCGTTGAATTAGGAATAAATTATAGCAACGAGAATTGTTGGCAAAATCTGATAACCAGAAATGTTTGTTCCCGTGTAATAGAAATTATTTCGCATAGTAAAACGAGCTACATATTTGATATAATAGTTCTGTTGACGAAATAACCAACCATCCCACTCCTCTTGCATCTTCCTAAATGGGGTCTCAAGAAAACGTGCGAGGATAATACATATATGCTACATTACCAACATTTTGAGAGCTTAGAGATTTTTCCTATTCGAACATCCCGGGTATACCATGTACTACACACACGCGACGAAGTGATTGAAGCGCCCTCAAACACGAAATAATTACATTTGATCACCATCTTCCCGGCGAACACACCTGTACGAAGGGTTGCCTACCCGAACATCTCCGTTCTGTTTTACAAGATAACGACCATATCGGAACGGAAAAAAGAGACAGCTGTCCATAATACACCGGGAAAAAGCATTGGAAACCAAATTAATTTATAGTGTTGACCTCTACGACATATACAGAATGCCCAAACAGCGTTTCGATATCTTAAACGGTACGAAAAATATTTGGGGTTCTAGTAGTTACCGAATCACCTCTCCATGTTGTATAATAGAATATTGATCCGTTGGAGTGGGCGTGGGAGGGTAGTGAGTAAGAAAGCTGACGCCTTCATGTCTTCTTCTCTAGTGATAATTCAAAGCCTTCAACTGCACAAAACATGGTAGGGTGATTGAGAGGTGAGTGAGGAAGAGGGACGTTGTTCAGATGGAATAGGGAATGGGGGAAGACGAGGAAGGAAGCTTGCTCTCGTTTATTGGGCAGGTGCTCACAGTGGACATGTGCCTTAGCCTCTCAAAAGGTTAGTACAAGTGGGTCCGATTGGGGGCGTTACGCATGCGAGTCAACGTGCTGGGAACGTAGGAGGGGTGAGTATCTTTTTGCGACCTGACAAAGAAAGACATGTGCTTCACATTTTCGCATTACTACTTGAGGTCTCCCCTTCATGTGTATTAGGTAAGGTCTCCCCCTTAGGTACTTGTAATGAAATAGAGATGACAAGTTTCACGTTTGTAAGAAGAGAAAGGGAAAGAAGGAAATAAAGAGAGGAAAAGGAGATACGAGAAGAGATGGAGGGAGAAGAGAGGAGAGAAAAAGGAAGGTAGAAAGGGAGAGGGGCAGATGGAAGGAGAGAGGGAAGGGAGAAAGAACTTCGTTTGGGAGAGGTTTCGCTCATATTCGTTTGAAGGACTTACAATCAAGTCCGTTCGCTCCATCACGCTCACGATCTCTGTGAGCATGTCCAGTGACGGTGATTCACAGAAAACAAAAGGCTAAATTTTTACTAATCCGTCTGGCACATTCGGGGCATCAGTAACGACCTCGAGAACAAAATTTAACCATTCAACTTCTAAATTTCATAGTGATTCTTCTCACATCTCTTTCTAAGGTGCTAGAGGTTGTGTAGAAAATATCACGTTCGTTTTCACCTGTCGCTCCACGGAACAGCGTTTGCCTCCCTGTGAGACTCCGCACCAAGCCCCTGGGGCACCGACGCCTAGCCTCCCTCGACCAGCTCGACTCAAAACCATACGGGAAGATTGTCAGGGTTACATACGGCCGTTTTCGAATAAACTCTCTTGTAGCTGGTTTTTACTGTAAACTATGTGTTTTATTTGCTGTTTTACTCAGCGATCTTTGCTTTCATCTTGATTTTGTGACTCGGAATTTCGGATTTTTTTATTCATGATATTATTTTGAAATCTGTCGTTTGAGGAAATGAGTATTTTAACACAATATTTCATTATTGAGTATTATTATTATTACCCACGTATTATTTTCAGTTATAGTTGCTTTCTACAATTTTATTTGTTCTATTATCGTCTATATATGTACAGCGAATCAGTAAATACCGGGCAGACAGTCGTGGTATTTGCAGTGTAACAGTCGGCAGTCCCTATCGGATGTGAAGTTGGCAGAACCCTCCTCTCCCCGCACCCTCGCAGCGAAACGTCAAGAAAACTTGCGCGTGTAGTAGACAAACTAAATGCCCGTTGCCTCTGGCGGCGTCGGCAGTCCCGCTGCGCTTCACCCCGCCCCTCCCCGGGCTTCACCGCCCCGCCGCCGCCCCGCCCGCCCGCCCACGCCCGCCCCCGCCCCGCCCGCCCCGCGACGCTTCCGCGCATCGCCTTTTGCGCAGCACCCCCTCCCTCTTCAACCCTTGCCTTCGCGAGCGCTCTCAATAGTAACATTTGATACCCCTCCCTTCCCCCGCCCCGCCCCGCCGGCCGCCATGTTGGCACGAGTCGTCGCAGCGACCATCTCGCCCCTCCGCTCCTCTCCCGATGCGACGAACGCCGCGTTGGCGAGGACGCGCGTCGCACGTCGCACGCTGCTTTGGCCCGAACGCACGACGTCAGGGGCTGACAGAATGTGGAGGCCCTGGAGGTGTATATAGTATACTCGTATGTATATACAGGGGTCCGGAGAGGAAACGTCGAAACTTCGAAAATAAGCGCTTAATTAAGACAATTTTAAGCATATTTTGTCTAATACACTACTTTTTTAAGAATATTTTTTCTAAGAAAATACATTTTAAAAAATCGCTTTACCACACTAGAGTAGTTATCTAAAATTCTTCGCATCAACTTGTTAATTACATCATGACTGCAGATAGTTTCAATTTCTTCTTTGTTAAAAATAGAGAAAAATTGAAGTATTAATTTAAAAAAGTATAAAATATGGCAATAATATTTTTTTATACGCAGAAACGCTTACTGCCCACATGATACGCAGTGAAAACAAGATTAGGTTACACCTCGGATCACAGGGAAATCTCGTCCTCATGGAATTTTAAGTTAAAAAACTTGTTTTATTTCTTATCTTTCGAGATTGACAACGATGCTTTACAATATTTTTTACTCAACATAACCCCTTCAGATACCGAAGGCCCTGTTGCGTCAGGCTCTTAACCTGTATTTTGTATGCGTCGTTGTACAAATTAGAAGAACGATTGGAGTTTGTTTTCGTATTCGTTTCCGATAAGCAGGATGTGTTAGATACAGGGAGGGATTCAGTCGTTCATCACATGACCCCACGTCCCCCTGGATCCGCCACTCGCCAAAAAGGCGAGTCTCTACACCGAGTCTTTCTACCAACCGCGTCTCTCTGCCTCCCGGTCTCTCTGCCTCCCGGTCTCTCTGCCACCCGGTCTCTCTGCCACCCGGTCTCTCTGCCACCCGGTCTCTCTGCCACCCAGTTTTTCTGCCACCCAGTCTCTCTACCACCCGGTCTCTCTACCACCCGGTCTCTCTACCACCCGGTCTCTCTACCACCCGGTCTCTCTACTACCCAATTTCCAGTGGGGACTTCAGACTAATAGTTGACGCGCCGGAAACACGAAATAATGAAGCAATCAATTCTTCACACTCTGAAAAGCACATGCTACTACAACACACCTGTCCAGGAAAGAAAAAGGCAAGGTGCGATTCTCTTTGCTTAACTTTTGCCAAAAATGAACATCGCAGCGATCAAATTTATCCGCTCACAGGCGTGCCAACGTGTCTTTTCATTTAGAGGTATTTCGTCAAGTGAAACATTGAAGACTAAACCTTCACAGAAAATTTAGCGTAACTTAATGTTTCATCTCAGCGAAATATGAAAGACGATGATATAATTTACGGTATAATATACACAATATACACAAGTATATATAATATATTTTAATTTATATTTTAAAATTATCATTAACAGAGACAAACATGAACTTATCACAAAACATTGAAAGACATACGTTTTTATCTATTTAATTATTTATTTGAAATTTGGAAGGGGCTTCAGACTTTCAGTTATTCAATCTGAGGCCACATCAAGTGAGTTTTTTTTCTTCGAGAATTTGAATCATGACCTATACGAACAAGTGCCTTTCTTTTAAAGTCGTAGTCACATTTATTCCAAGGGAAACAATCAAATAGCTTGAATCAGCACGACGATTACGATCAACACAACTACCAAACCATTACCAAATATGTGCGAACACGATCATTATCATTACTATTACAATTATTATTATTATTATTATTATTATTATTATTATTATTATTATTATTATTATTATTATTGCTTAATAGCTGTAGTAGCGAGCGGCGTTGTCTTGCCTTCGGCTTGAGCATAGTGGTGATTGGGTGGTTGTGAGTTCGATCCCCACCAGGTGCCGCAAGTTCGCGTGATACTTTTAGCATCGGCGAGTGGTGGCGCCTGGCGGAATCGAATTCGCAGGACGATTGCTCTTATCAGTTGTTTCGTGGGTTTCGCTGATCGCCTCCTGACGAATGTCAGAGCAGCCCAAGGAGGAAGGACCGCGCGCGATCCTTCCTTCCCCATTCCCCAATCCTTAGAGCCCATCGGTCGGACTAACCACCCGCTTTCGCATAGACTTAATCCCCACTCGTCAAGAAAAAAAATCCCCTGAGTTTTAGAGAAAAAGCAAGGTAAGAAGTGCAGTTGAGCCATTGGAAAAAAGGAAATATCCAAGCAAACAAGAATCAATATGGGTGAAAAATGCTTTGGAAAATTACAATTATATCTAGAAATGTTAGGCACCTAAGTTGCACGCCGAAAATGAGATGCATAGGATGTATATTTACATCCAATTCATATTCGTGTTTCATAATTTTTTCAGTAATATCTATCATTTGCCTGCAATTTATCGTTATCTGCAATTTCTGAATGCACAATAACAGTTTTATGTCCTTTAACTTTTCTGACTCCAAAGAGCAGCTAAACGCGATCATCGCATGTAAGCACTGTGCAAATCAAAGGAAAGGTGCTCAGCTGTTTAGAGAGAGATATTGCTTCATTTTTTACATTCTTGTGGATTGGTCAGGTTCTGCATAACGCCATTCAATTGTGGAATAAAATGCGTTAAGAAAGAAGTATTTGGCTTTAATATTGGAGGTATAGTGCTACAAATTTGAAAATAAATTTGAATTAGTTGAACCCGAGCGATTCATCAAACTGGAGGAAGAGATATAGAAAAGTTATACATATGCACTACACGAAAAATCGAAAATCCCCAAAACACTATTTAATGTCGTTCAGAATTTTTTCTCAAAGACAAAAGAAATGAGGGTCGTTTACAAATTCTGGAACAATAAAATCAGTACTCATTGTTTAGTAGATCAAGAAATCTTACTGTTCACCTGGGCTTATAACATAATGCAACACATATACTTAGTCACTGAATTTTTTGGAAATGTCACATATGCCAGACCATTGCTGGATATAGCTTTTATTATAAATTCACTAATCTTTACTTTTAAAAACATTTTTTTCAATTTAAGAAAACTCGTTATTTTTGCTTAGCTGAAAACAACCTTACACTCACTTTTTCGCTCGAAGACAAAATGTTGAATGCTTTTAATATATCAATTACAACTTGTTTAATAAAATAATGAACAGATGTCGGCGGATAAGCTTTCATTCTATTAATTTCAAGGTATTATTAAAATTTAGTATTTATTCGATAAAATCGCTTAAAAAGTGAGTACAAACGACCCACTACCTTCCTTCATATGCAATAATACAAACGTTGAGTTCAAAATTCATAAATTTCCTACACGAAAACTCTTAATGTTTTCAATATAATTATGTTTGCAGTTTTCAGAATTTAATAGGTTTTAATGAAAATACGAACTATACAATACTCAGAAATGATCTTGCTTTTGTTCAAATAAAAACAATTGAAAGGAAAAGTTCGTGACATTTTCAAAATTACCACAAAAATGATAGCAGGGGCTTATGTGAAGTACCCTCTAAAATTAAAATTTCTTAATGACCTCCAAAAAATGCACCTCTAGATATAATTCCTGACTAATTACCCAGTTTCAGCTCAAAAGCTTCTAATCTGAGAGACTTGATCGTGAAAAATACTTCCACCCACCCATTCATCCATCCATCCGCCCCACACACACACATACATATATCATGATTGTATAAATTCGCACGTATCTCCTCGAGAACTGCACCAATCTTAACTATCTTTGCAAGAGCACTGATATATCTTAATCCTGACGTGTGTCCAAATTTACATCTCAAAAAAGACTTTAACACCCATTTTATGATTACTAAAAGGTGATTGGTTTGCAAGGAAGGTAATACACATAGGATGTGGATTAATAAAACAGGTCGATATCCTGTTAGCAGAGTAACGCAGTCACAGTGCTTAGGAAAAAATGTGAACGTTTCCTACTTCTGTTTATCCCCCTTCCGCACATAATATATTCTTTTGAAAAAAGTTGAC